GGGGGGGAGAGAAAGTGAAAAGGCAGCGGGAGACTGAAAAGCTAATTCGTCAGAGCGCTGTGAAGCTTGTCACTTCCGGAAAGAAAATATGTGCATGTGTAAAAGTGTTYGAATGTGTGAAAAAGTGCTTTGAGGGGAAAAAAAAGAAGCAAAACAGCTTCCACTGCAGTTGCACACATCCTCCTTGTCCAGTTCACTACGTTGTGCTTATTTCTAGTCAACCTTCCAACCTTGCACATATTAACAGAAGGGGTTGCAGACCTGCTTATGCTCCAGTTATATACCTGTAAACTCAGAGAAAATACTACTTTCTTGTGGTAAAACTATAATCAGGAGAAACTGTGCAAGTGAGAAAYTCACAACAAAGCAGCATAATAAGGCACATTGTGCTGGGCTTGTAGGTACAATAAACATTCATAAACAGGTACATGTAAAAACGCTCTGAAGAAACACTGTAAGTCTATTTTTTTATGATTTGCTGTGTACATTTTTAGATAGGAAGCTGTGAAAAGTAAAAGGAAGTGTGATGAGAGGGGAGTCRACATATGAGAAAGCTTTTTTAATATCCGAGTCATAAAATCCACACTACAGGGCAAAAACAACACAAAAACTGTTGATAATGCAATTGCGGGTCCCAGTGTGTCAAGAAACCCACAAAATAAAAAATAATACAATTCATCTGATCCTTTTGTTCCAGATTCCCTATTTGAGTCTTTAAGAAGCTCCCATTTAAATTTCAAATAAGATCATTGTGTGTATTTGGACAACATGAAGCTGAAATTTTACAACTTTTCTTGTTAAAACATACAAAATTGTGAATTAATTCACAACATTGAATGTATTTTTTTTTCATTTTGAACATCTAAACTGTAATCAGTGTTTTTTAACTGAAGCAGTTTAGTTGAAATTATAGTCAAGAAGTAATCAACTTTAACATTACTTATATTTATTTCAGTCATTTAGATTTTTTTCATTATATTTGTATGTTATTTATGTTCTGATATATTATTCCACTGCATGTCACACAAGTACCTGGTTTAAAAGATGACTAGAAAGTGCTTATGTGGGTATTTGTAATCCGAATTTAGTTCAAGTCATTTTCTAAAAAATAACAAAATGACTCATGCTGCTCCTGTAGGTGTTTGCTCATTTTGCATTTGAAATGCCCTTTTTTTTATTTTGCCAGAATGATAGGTGGTGCCTGATCTGGCTATGGAGATTACCTATAAGACGAACATTTTTTTGTCAAATCATCTCATTCCTTCCTTCCGTTTTAACAGAAAACAAGATATAAGCAAATGCCCCCCTGTAGTTGATGTTTCATGTGGACTTTAAAGCTTAAGATACTAAAAGAACCCATCACTGATAGAAAAAAATTGGTCAGAATGTTTGTAGACCTAAACTGAACCGATGAATTTTCTGCTTTATTCAGGGCATCATGATCGGATCAAGAAAAGTGACCATTAACTTGAAAGAAAATGAAAAGTGAGCCTATTAAATAACTTGTGTAGAACATTTTTTAACGAAATACACTGTCTTCCTTGAATAGACCTAATCTCCCACATCGCCCACACATGAAAGCAGCTAACAGGGATTCATTAAACATGTGAAGCTGCTGGTAAATGTGTGTTTGAGTGTCACTCCTCGTTTTTTCTTGCATGTCTGTTTGAGTAGATCAGAAGTATCAGCGGTGTATTTTCAGGTAGGGAAGCTTTTTTTGTGGGGGAGGGGGGTTGTGGCATCTCTGTGAGCTTTGGAGAACTGTGTTTATCTCTCCTTTGCGGGGTCCTTATGCAGTCAAATGCTCCTGAAATGTCCCCAAACGGAGAGCAGCAGCGTGTTAAAAAGGCCTTCTGACAGCAACTCTGCTCTCTTTGCTGTCACGCCGCGTGACCGCTTGGTGTACGCCTCTGGCACTGTCCGGTCTACTGCGTCCAATAATGCACCCTACACAGACGAAGCAAGACAGCCACACAGAAACACACACACACACACTCAGAACCACATAGGATGTGTTTGTTAGCAAGTTCTAGGGACGCACATGTATCGTGAACTTTGCCAAAACTCACAAAGACATGAAAGTCAGAGGAAACTCTCACATCAGTTCATGTCACTGTCACATGTACACATGCGTTTAAAATGTTGGTTAAAAAAAGTGCATGGAAGTGTGTTTGTGTTGCTTTGTTAGCTCTTGCAAAACAAGCTCTCTTAGCTCACACGAATAGCTCACACGAATCCATCTGTCTTTGACTGCAGCTGGGGGAAAAACAAATAACTAAAAATTGCATCTCTAGATTATCTTGGAAATGAGTGAGAGAGCAAGAAGCTGCATGGCTGATAAAGCATGCTTACCTGTTGGATGGCTCAACATTGGRCCAAACCAGCCAAGCAGCCAACGCTGCTCTTTGAAGCCAAGAGAAGCGCGTTTCTTTTAATGAAAATGGAGATGCAGACGGAGAATGAGAGAGATGCGCAGTGTGAAACAACAAAATGGAGTGGGAAGGAAAGAGCACAAGACAAGARGTCACAACCAAGACAAACTGCTGTGTGTGTGTTAAGTGAGCAGAAGAGAAGGGAGTCAAAGGCAAAGCTTGCATTGTGGTCCAGAAAGTAGCCAGATCCCCCACTCAGCTAGGTCACCCGCTGCTCCGCGATGCCAAAAAGGAAATCAGTGTTGCCCATTATGCATATTTGTGTGCGTATGTGCGTCTCCAGACACCTCTGGCTGCCAATGTTTGCCTTGTTGAAGAACGAGTTTGTGTAACAGAGAAATGTGCAAAACCAGGCCAAAGACAGACCCGTGCCAGAGGAAACGGGCCCGTGCCATTCTGTTTTCCCAGTCTCCAAATTCAGCAGTCAGGCCAATCAGTCTCACTAGCTGTGTTATCACAAAACCTAAAACTGGTTGAAAACTCTATTGCAGACCATTAAAGTTCTCTACAGAGGCAAAGATTTTGCCATTAGTATCCTTTAGGGCACAGATGAATTTTTATGCAAYTATATATCAGTTGTAAACTTAGTGGCAAAATGCAAAAGAACTATGAAGGAACTTGTTGCATATTAACAGTTTCAAGCAGTTGGTTTTCTTCTAAAAATAGTTATAAACTAGAATCAGTATTATTGKATCAAATGTTATGAAAACTGTCATTGCTACAAAGGCAGCGATATTGCCCTCACCTTTTTGGAAGTTTTCATCTCGTTGTTTTGCTTTCACAGTCCACTGTTTTGGGTCATTCATGCCACCTCTCTCACTTTATCACTACCATTTGTTTTGAAGGATTACACAAAGCTTAAAATTGAAAATGTGCCTCTATTTCTGAACTTCCACAGTTTTTTTTTTCTTGGTTTCGGCTTTATGTATTTGCAGCAATAGATGTGGCAGAGATGTAGCATTTTTAAATTCATGACACAAGTGCTCCTCTTGCCATATTCCACAAAGCTGAATTGCCAACTAGAGGTTTGCAGTGTTAGCAGATAAAGCACCATAGTGTGGCTCTTCGAGTTTCTTTCCATAATATGCAAGGTTGCTGGAYGTAATCTGGTGTATCAGCTGCTATAAGCACATCCTGTGTGAGGCAAGGAAATGAGGGAATGTTACACTTTATTTTAGCAGCCTTTTATGCAAATTTAAACAAGCAAATAAAGCTTTAAAGAACTTTAAGCTGAAGCACTTTAAAYGACAATACTCATCCATGCTGAATGAACAATAAACTGGATTTAGAAACCATTCAGAATTCATTTGAGTTTACAGTGACTATTTTTATTTTAGTTTTTTTAAATCATATTATTAATGAGAAAAAAACTGACAAGGTTGTTTTGGTTAATCTTCTGTTTTGTCTTTTTCCGATTCTTAAAATGTCCTTTTGATTTCAGCTGCTCGTGTGATAATTTTTTTTTTTTTTGAGAAACTAAGTTTAAGGCACAGTGATGTAGAAATGGCTTGAGAAAGAAGCCACAGGCGAGTGCACATCAGTCCTTAAAACAAAAGTGAAGGTTTTCAAGGTTACAGAACAACTTCATTCTTGTGTTTTTCATGTTTTATAGGCTGTCTCTTTAATGGAAATAAAAGTTGATTGAATAAAGGGATATGTGTGAGTTTATTATATTTCATTTTGCTTTTCTAATATAAAAGGGCAAAAATAATAGCAAAAAACATCAAAATGAAATGGCAACACAGTCAGAAAATTTCCAAATGCCAAAATTCAAAGCAAAAATATGTGTTGCACTCTGAGTACACTGTTGGATATTTGAAAGGAAGAAGCATGAACAGAAAATGGATGGATAACCGAATTTTAGATACATTCTTGTATCTTTGTGATCAGTTGTAATCAATTAC